AGGTCTATAGGTGCAGACCGAAACACGCGTGCATAGGCTTTTGGATATTACGTACTGTTAGTATGGTAGCCCCTTACCCCAAAATATACTACTAGCTGCCTATTGGCCGTTAAGGAATATTACGCGGTTACACGCTCTGGCCGGTGGACTTTGGTCCAAATATTCTTACATAAAAAATTCAATTCGGTCTGCCCATATAGACGAAGAATATACTGATCTACTCCAAGTTTGCAGTTAATCTCTGAGGAAATCAAATATCAACAATTTCTAACTTGGAGAATCTGCCAGATATTAGACGAGGAATTCTTTTTAGATCCACGAAATATTTTACGAAAAACAGTCACCCGAGTGGATAAAACGTTCCCCAAAATGTTGCTGTCGTTACACCCCTAGATCATAAACAAACAGACATTTCCCTTTGAGAAAATACACATCTGACAAATACTTAAAATTATCAACTGAGTCAGCAGGTATCTAATGATCACTGACATGCCGGTTGTGAAAGGATACTTTTGCCTACTGAATGTACACTAAGTCGAACAAACCGTCAAAACACAATGCATTCTAACGACGAGGCGTTTCCAACACAACTGGCCCAAAAATACAAATTCAAGCCTCTAAAACTGCGCAAAAGTAGATGAGAACCTATTTACAGTTCGTGACTCACATCTGACAGTGGAAGGCACTATCCGGTATGTTAAAAGTTGGAAATAAATGCAGAAACGACAGCCATGACAGACTGACTAGGCGACGGAGTAGAAGCCCTTCAATTAGGACCCAATGTAGACCCGACCTGCGTCAAAAGGAAACGTTAAATCGCGACGCATTGTCGACAAAAGCCAGGGTTACCTGAATTAACATCTAAGTGGCCGACCGTTGTAGAAACCTACTCCGAGAACACTCGGCACTGGGCACTGGGTCAGACAATAGCATTGGGCCATGAGTTTATGTCTCGTCGCCCCCATTGCGCAATATTCAAAGCCACGTGGGAGTTGTTTTTACTTGGCAACACTTCTTAATCCTTAATTGTCTCTCGACATTTTAATCCGCTTGTGAGGAATTTACCAGTACAGTCTTTGCGGATCTAAACTTTGATCTTTTTCCAAGCAAACTACATGATCGAAGAAGGTAAAAGCTGCTTTATTTTTAGGGAGATGTCGACATTCTCTGCTTGCAAAATTTTGCTTTGTAAATCTGTGGGATCTTTTGCCAAGAACACTAACAATTCCTCCCAATCAGCAGTCCCAAGCGTTCATATTTCAACGAAAACGGCATATTGCGTGTACGTCAGATTTGGGTTTTGGTCGGTGTATCCGTTAATAGGCGTACTCTGGAAACGAAGCATTTACCGTGTATTTCGTTTAACAACCTGTGAAATGCCCATAAACTCATTGGGCGCCGCATTTATCATGATAAACCAGGGCCAAGAATAACGTAAAGTTTACAAAAATGCTTCTAAAATATGCAGGACAAAGGCGCTTTTTAACGGTTGCGCAGAACGTTTCAATGCCAAAGAGGAAAATTTGTGCGTGGGGAAGGCACTTATTTTTTCTAGCCTTTCTACGGAAAATAAAGAACGACAACCATTTCCAAATCTAAAGTGTCATATCAACCGTATTTAAGTTTGATCTTTATTAGCCGGTTCGTCATATAATAAAGTCATTGTTCCGCGCCAACGGCTTTCCCGGAAATTTGTCGGTAGTAATAGATCATTCTTGAGCAGCAATCCAATTAAGTAGCGATCCAATTAATCAGCCGCCAAAAACTCTTTCCATGGAGAAACTCGGCTGTTAAATACTTTTCAGTTCTGTCATAAGGCGTCACTTCTGATAGCCATAAAATACGCGCCGTGTCGCCCCTGGCGATCCTTCGAGGACGTTGAAAAAGTCAAGCTGGTCCTCCACTTTTCAAAAACACCGTCAGACTTACCGTCATTCGAAAAAATGGGTTTGAAGACTGATGCTTATTTTTGTCAATCAAAAACCGCGTGCCCATGACTACCTAGGCCGCTCGTATTTTATAAATCTGGCTGACAGTCAGCCTGCGCAAGTTTGGGCTCGACGATTTCATTTCCTGCCATTTACGCAACCGAGAAGTCATTCGACCAACCGTGTGCATGGAAGAAAATTTTATTGCACTCAGCAGCACGCTCGATCAACCAACTCTTGTGAGACATTCGAGACCTGGATCGCAAAGGCGTTCTTCTTGAACAATTTTTGTAATAGTTTGGTCACTTCTTTGTTTTTGTCAGCATACTGCCACAAACTAAGTTTAATAGCAATGCAGACTGGAGCTCCGTGATGACAAAAGTATTTTTTTATCGAAAATAATTTATTCATGAAAAAAACAGTACTGCATTCAACATTTTTCCGCGTTTTATCTTTACTTGGGATATTTGTTTTTTATGGTGCGTCTTACTTAAAGCAGGAATGGTAGTTTCTTCATTAATCGTGACTGCCCCCGACATGTCATGACGTTAGCCGCCTACTGCAATATTCATCCGATTAATTGGCCAAAAACTGCCGGTAAGACATATAAAGAGGACACAAGTGCAAAACCGTCGATGTGTCTAGACCCGGAAACATGCGACTTGGCCGGACAACGTACTACTCGTTGGCGAGAGTTGTGCTCTGCAGGTGAATCCTACGTCAAGGCTACTTCTCCGGAGGTCGTGGCTCCCGCGTGGCACACGCCGTCCACTCTTTGTCGGTCGTCTCGTTTTCTTCCAATGAAGCTTGCTCTCTCCTTCTGGGTGTTCCAACGTCAGCGCAGCCTGTCGGTCACGCGGGCGAACCATCGCGCTGGTGTCATCTGTCCACGCTGGCAGCAGCAGAAGTCGATTGGTGGATGGAGGGGTGAGTTGGGAGGGTGTTGGGGAATGGGGGTGGGGAGTCTGAGGCGCGGCCGATACGGACGCACTCCCTCCCGCAGCGGCGTTCGTGCGTGCTGCCGTGCATTCGTGTGCCTCTGTCTACCGGACGGCGCCATTTGATTCGTCTCACGCTGTCTTCGACACTTATCCTCTCCGCTCATATATATATATTTAAATGCCGTACGACGGTTCATTTCGTCAAAGCAAATTAACCGTCCATCGAATTGGTGCGCACTTTCCCTGACACCTACTCCTCACCTCGACCACATCAACTTCTCCCGCACACCACACACCGCATTTGTGCATCTTCTTCTGCTCTGCCGGAACCACGTGGACTCCGCATCCGGCTACCCTGTCGTTACGTCACTGCCACTATGCAGAGGGCACATCTAACTTACTTCGTGCTCTTACTCTGTCTGAGCAAAGATTTCCAATGCCGAGGAATGTGTGGTGCTTCTCGCCTCTATCATTCTCCCTACTATCTGGAGGAGAAGCAGGAGGAGGAGGAGGACGGGGAGGAGGCTTCGTCCGCTAATGGCACATCTCTTACCGCGGTCGGCCCCATGACTGGGGTGGAGACGGAACTTTTACGGGCTTACCGCAACCGCAGACGAACTGACGAGATACCCACGGAAGTGACGAGGGATAGTTCAAATCCATCAAAGGTGGACGAAGAAGATCTGGTGCGTCAGGTGGCCATTGAGAAGTTTAAGAACAGCATTCTTCAGCGGTTACACCTCTCCAGGCCCACCATTATGGAGGACGTAGAAAGCGCCGTAAATGGCACTGATGAAATAATGGAGGCTCTTCCGCTGTTCTTGAAACGGCGCATCCTCAATGAAGTCGAAAGTACGAATGGAATACTCGAACCACCAGTTGAGAGAACCGAGGAAAAGGAGACGATTGTACTGATAAAACCACGTGAGTCTCCTTATTACCGTTTGGTGGGCATCCGTTTTCAGCAAGTACGCTGCTTTCCCGAGGCAGGGCAGTTGCATGCAGTTTCTAAGGGCTTCCTATCTACAGACAGAACGTAAAATGTTGACTTATATCTAATGCCCATATATGTACGCCCCAGGAAATCGCTGCACTGGCGAGTTCCGTGGAATGGGACACTACTCCACCTCTCATATTCTTAAGTACACGGAAATCTGGAAACATACCCTGGTTCATTCGATAAGCACCTCAGACGGAGTAGCGCGTGTCGTCCCTATTCCACTCACGGCAAAACAACTGACAGAACTTAATGGCCTTGCATGCTCTAGCAGACCTCATACCCTTTCATGCGCGTGAGGTCCGATCCTCCCCCCCCCCCCCCCCCCCC